GATCTCTATTCCAATCCAACTTTCTTAGGAGTTGAGGCACCCCTTTTCCAGTGCTTTTGCAGTCCAACTCTCTTAGGAGCTGAGGTCCAGTGCCTTTACAATCCAACTCTCTTAGAAGTTGAGGTACCTATTTTCTAGTACCTTTTGCAATCCACCCTCACAACTCCTTACTTGCTTTCCAGCCTTCTGAGGGTGATCTCTCAGGGTCCCCTTTCTTTCCCGACCTCGGTGAAAACTCCATTTGTGGCTGCTCTTGGCCACTAAGTCCGAGTATTGGGCGAAAGCCTGGAGATTTGGATAAACCACAAGACTCCTGGTCCTTTTCTGAGAGAATGTCTCCCACCTTTATTGTGGAACAGCCTTATATACAAACTTACAAAAACTCCAGGTCAAAGGATTCACAACAGGATATTGATCCCAGTGGGGTGAGGTCAGGAAAACAGGAGGTACCTGTGGTTATGCTGGAAAACAACTCTTAGAGACCCCATGGGGGCTGGGTTCCAACACTAATATATAGTTTAGTAAGACCAGACTAGAACAAGTCCACCTCTGCTGTTCAGACATGTTGTTTCTAGGTGGAGGCCTAGTTTTTCAACTCAGAGGCAGGGTCTGCAGCCCCCACAGCCTGGTCCTCAAAGATGATCCCACAGGGCAAGTCTCTGTACTTGCAGGCAGAACCTCTGGACAGATGGACAGGGTGACAATGTTGGTTGTTATCCATTTTGGAGAGTATTGCTCCAGGTAAAACCACATGACAGCAGGCTGCAAATACAAGCAGCTCCTCTTGAAGGGCTGCTCATTCCTTTGGCAGCCAGGCTTGAGGACCAGGCTCTAAATCAGACTTCCACAGAAAGAGTTCTGCCTGCTTGCCCACCAAGACTAAGAACAGTTCTGAGGCTGGTGAAACTGCTCCCAGACTTCTTCAGCAGCAAACTCTGCAGGGAGGCATCAAATGTCTGTGAACAGGGGCTGAGGCTGAAAGAGCCTGCAGCAACAGTCTTCCTGCCCCACAGCACCAGTGTGGGACATGCCTGCGCCTCTCAGCCATGTGGGAACAAACTCCGTGTCAGAGCCACCTCCAGGGTTGTATCTCGTATACATTAAAAGACCCAGATGCTGAGCTTTGAGCATCCTTGTAAGATCATTTCTGTTCCACAGTTTATATGTATTATAAATATATAAAAACATTATATTACAAATATGTATTACACTATGTATTATAAGTATATAATATATATAATATTTAAAGACATACATATTTATATAGGTTGGTCCTAGACCATATACATATATATATATATATGTGTGTGTGTATGTAATATGTGTGTCTGTGTAAGATCATCAACTACTGGTAAGTGAAGGGAACTACAAATGTCCTCTTAAAATGGTCACATTAGAATCCTAACTACAAGGAGTTGATGGCTTGACCACCCACTGTGTCTTGTCCTTAGGCACAGAATCAGCTGAGGTGCATGAATTCAGGCTGGTGACCACACTTGAGCCTTTCAGTAAGCTCTCTTTCTCTGAGCATAAGTGGAGAGCACATTGCCTGGTGTATGATAACAAAGCCAGTTTTCTCATCTCCCCAAGAGCTGATCCTAATTATATCTGTGCATCACAGAAACCTCAGACAGATGTGCCTCCTAAAAGTGAAAGCTGCCTTGCAAATGGTCAGCTTCACCCTTAATCATAACTATGATGGTTATCACTGTTGATGGCTTACCAAGGGCCAGGTCATGTGTCTAGTGGGTACACAGAAGATGACAGATGGTCATTTGTTGAGTGACTGAACAATACTCTGTGCCCTTCACATGCCATCACATTGACATGGGCGTTATAACTTGTTTTACAAAGCTACCACCTCTGGATTTGTTCTAATTTTTTGTTTGTTTGTTTTGTTTTTTAGATAGGATTTCTTTGTGTAGCCTTGGCTGTCCTGGAACTCCCTCTGTAGACCAGGCTGGCCTCCAACTTACAGAGATGTGCCTGCCTCTGCCTTCCAAGTGCTGGGATAAAGGCATGCGCCACCACCCTGCTACTGTTGTTATTCCAGTATCCATATAAAACCTCCATGAAGTAGATGCTATTAGCCCACAACACTAGGCAGAGTTTAAGTGACTTGCTTAAGAGCAGTCTCTGGGTGATTTACACTTCCACCTCGGTATTGGGGACTTAGCCCAGGCCTCAAGTATTACACCCCCTCCCCCAGGTACTCTACTACCAGGCTAGATCTTTTGGCCTCTTTTTAATTTAAATATTTTTATTTTGATACGGGGGTCTTGCTAAGTTAAACAGGCTGGCCTTGAACTGGTTCTGTAACCTAGGGAGACCTTGAACTTGCAATCCTCCTGCCTCATGCCTCTCATTATTTGGAATTATAGGCCCCTGCCAGGCAAGCCCAGTTAGTGGCAGTACTTGGAGGGCTGACTAGCATCAACACTCTGGGTTTCAGGTTCTTCACATCATAATCAAGTTCAAAATGGTAGGGGTAGTGCTCTTATCCTAGGCTTTGCTCATTTCTTTCTCATTCTCACCACTGCTCCTTCCTTGCTCAGAAGATCAACAATCCTGCAGACGTGGCCGGAAGGCAGTTATATAAAGAAACTTCAGTGATCCACAGCGTGGATTTTTGGTGCACGGCTGGCTTGGTTATCGTTCTCATTCCTTCCTCAAACATACGTTGGACACTCCTATGTGCACAATATTGTTAGCACACCAATGTGTACTCATCCGGAGAGCAGCAATTCTGAGGCTTCCTGGAAACCCTTGGCAGGAGAGTGTCGGTTTCCTTGGGAGGCCCTCTCACTTTTTTCTTCCTCTGGAATTGTTCTATCCCTCAAGGTGGCTGGAGCTGCAAGTTTCCTTCCCTAGAGGTCAAGTAAACTTGAGAACAAAGTGAGAAGCCTAGGGCAGAACCGCCTGGGGAGACACGACAGGAACTTGGGAGCGCCTGGGATTCAGTCCCCCAGGCCATCTTGTATATAGGCTGACTTCGTTGATAGCGAAGAGATAATAGAATTTATAGAGCCCGAGATTCCTAGTCCTTCAGTCACAAAGATCCCAGGCTCCAGCCATGAACCCTAGAAGGTTCCTATGCAAAAAGGACCTCTTGGGATGACTGCATACATTGTCCTCTGACAATGCAAACGTGACAGCTGCCTATCCAACAACCATTCCGCCTCCGTTCGTGCCACACAGGCATCTCCTGCGCTATAGTTATGCAACCTCACTCGCAGCGGGAGTTATTTCCTGTGCCGCTGGATGCGCCAGATTCATGTAACCCGCCTACCCCGGGCTTCAATGGAAGCCGTTCTCCATTAACAAGCACTCGGGCTTTCAGAAATGAATGCCCTGCATTGCATGCTGTTTGCGCAGTGAGAATCGCGCTGCGAGGTATTGAAATCAACTCTTTCTACACACACACACACACACTTTCTCTCCTCACTCCCCTGTGCAAGCAGCTAGGGGACTACAGCAATGCAACTAGAGGGACAGCAGGAGGAGCTCGCTTTGCAGTCCTGCCCTGTAACCCCCACTAACTAGAGATGAACTCAAGCCAGTTCCATTCTTTGCAAGGAAAACACAACACACGCGCGCGCGTGCACGCGCACCGAGCAGAACGGAGCGGCCTTCTGATTTCTTCCTCGAACACACGGTGGATGTGCAGCCTGTTTGTAGAGACAACCTGGACATTCCAGGCTGAGTAACGGGGAGTTGCGCGTCGCAACAATGCCAGTCCCGGAGCAGCTCTGCTCACAGATCCCACCCCCCGCCCCCTTTCGCGGCGTGCCAAGAGTTTGGAGCGCGCGCACGCACACGCGCGCGGTGCAGCGGTATATCCCTCCGCCGCCCTCCTCGCCCCGCTCCCGCTGCCCGACGATTTGGGAAGCGAGGGGAGGAGGGAACTACTTTTCGGAAACTTGTTATGCTGCCCACG